CGCGACGGGACAGCCCAAAGGGAAGGGGGGGGGCGTTTGTTTCCCCCGCGACAACCCACATAGGGGTGCTGGGGGGGGGCCCCCCCCCCCCCCCCCCCCAGCTCTCCCACTGGAGGACAGCTGCTCTGACCACTCAGCCACAGCTGCCCCAACTAAGTGGGTTTCATAATGAACAATAACATTTTACCAGTTACAGACCACTTTATTTTTTCTATAGATTAACATGTAACCACGTTTATCTAACCCTGTGTTTTCCAGTTGCTTTACAAACCTTTTATAGTTTTTTTTTTCCACACATTCACTTCAATCCTACAAGGCACTCTGTGGAGTTGAAGCGTCCATTTGCTGCTATAAATTTTTTGTATTTTTCTTCTATGTTTTTTTCTTTCGTGAAGCTGCGTCTGCTTCATGTCTTAACTCTGACGGAAAACCTTGTCTTGTTTCCTGTCACCTGCAGGGCCTGCTCCTCATGACATCATCGTCGGCGTGTTGGCCGTCACGGTGGTTGTCGTGGCAACTGTTGCGTTTATTTTCTACAGGTAATCCCTCACACTGAAAAGGGTGCTGTGAAATGATTAAAAAACAATGTTAAAGGTCACTCACCCAAAATTTGGCTTCGGTAAAGATTTCTTTATTAGTTCGTAAATAAATACCATGAATGTTGTGAGGAAAGTAGGAAAACTTTGTTGCTTTCAATTGTTTTATACTGCTTGGCATCTATTTATAACCAAGTTATTTACCTTTTATTTTTAATGCTATCTCGCTGCTGCCTGTGATGCGTTTTATTTCGAATATTTTAAGAACAAATAAAAAATGTCTTAACTCTTGAATTAGACGTGTAAAGAAAACTAAGATAGAAATGTTAAAGCTGCTTCTGGCTCATTGTGTCACCATGGTGACCACACACCTGCTCTGTCACTGCCTGATAGCACTCCTAATAAGACAGGTAGACAGAATCGCTGACTAGAAATGAAGCCTCAAACCAACAGTGACGGTATAAAAACTATATGTTGTATTGATCAGTCCCTAAACTGTAAGCTGTAGCAGTGTCTGGTCTTCACTGAGGTCAATTTTTATGTGTATTTTTAAGTAGGAGATAATATGACAAGTTAAAATATGACAAGTTCTCCTCCAGTTTGGAGATAAGCTTCATGTTTCAGATTTATTGGAAATCAAAGGGCGCTTGAATGTGTGCACTCTAGAAGGACTTGAGAAAATAATTTGTCCTTTAGCAGTGAGAGGCACACTGAGTGAACGAAGACAAAAATGTATACATTCAGATGAATAAACTGTACAAGATGTGTAACTATTGTGAAAAGAGGAAGAGTTTGAAAAAATGCTGGAAAGTAAGGCAGCTCAAAAGTTAGTGTGACATAATCCCTATGTAGTAATATTTTCAGAACTTGTAAAACTGTTAATGTGTAAAAGATATATATATAAAATATATAAAAAAAATAAGAGCCCAGTCTTGTCAAGTTCAACTTTCAGTGACACGTTCAAAACAATGTTTCTACTAAGAAATATGTCTGAGCTACAGAGCATCAAAGAAGAAAACTGGCCAGAAGAGGAAATCTATGAACGAATCTATGAAATCTTAAACATATAAATCAATGCATGTATGGTCAAATTATGGATCCCTGCATACTTCACATACTTCGCTAAAGGTTTTTAATGATGTTGTTGAAGCTTTGGATGCCAAGGATTACTGTGCTGCACTTTACTTAGACCTGCCTTTGATACTGTACATCATGACATCTTATACCACAAGCTCTCAGATAGTGGCTTCTCACAACACTGTTGGTTGATTCTCAAATTATCTCTCAGGTCGGAGGCAATGCGTTCAACATAATGGTACTTCATCTAGCTACCTAATGGTCACTAAAGGGTGCCACAAGGCTCAGTTTTAGGACCCACTCTCTTTACAATCTACATAAGTAATGTAGGTCAAAACATTCCTGACGCATCCTTGCGTCTCTATGCTGGACAATACAATTGTTTATTGTCAAGCTAACACAGTTGCCAAGATTTTCTAGCTTCTACAGTCTGCATTTGACATCATTCAGTCAGACTTATTCCATCTCAAGCTGGTGCTAAATGCTGATAAAACCATGCAAATGTTGTTTTCAAACAGGAAGCTGGTACCATCAGTTCTTCCTCCAATCTCATCCACGCATGGTGTTCCTATTGAGCTTGTGGATTCCTACAAATACTTGGGAATTTTGGTTAATGCATAGTTCTCTTTTAAACAACATATCAAAATCTTGATAAAGAAATTGAAATTGAAACTGGGTTTCTTTTTCAGAAATAGATCTTGCTTAACTCTGAATGCCAGAAAATGCCTTGTAACCGCTACTTTCCTACCAACCACTGACTATGGTGACATTATTTACATGAATGCCCCTGCCAGCTGCTTGCAGATGTTGGATGCTGTCTACCATGGCACACTAAGATTCATAACTGGTTGTAACTTCATTCAACCTTTTTTTTTTCTTGCTTGCTCTCTGTGGAAGGCAGATGCGTCCTCCTCTACTCCATCCCTGCTTTGCTCTTTTGTCTTGTGAACCTTTTGTAGATGAACAGATGCTGGGATATATTCATCATTTAACGCGAGTTCCTCATTTTTCTGGACTGAATAAAACGTGCACTGAATTTAAGGAAATGCAAAGTGAGACGTCATTTAAATTTGACCCATCAAAATGAATGCGGTCATTTATTTACAGAATCAAATTTAACATCAAACATTTACATTAATTTGGCAAATTATGAAAATAACAATATAAGCAATCAATCAGGAAAAATCATACGGCCATGATTTTTCCGTTGCTGCACCACAGACATTTATAAAACTGTACAACTATGATCTTTTACCCACATGAATGTGGGTAAGCACTTTACACAGACATTTCTAAATATCTGGGAGAATTTCTACTTGATAGAAAAGTTTAAGATGAAAGATGAAGTTTAAAGGGAGTAAAGGATGGTGTGTGAGGGAAATTAAGTGTTTTCCAGAACCGACACTCTCCA